CACTGTCTGCACAGACAGCCCATGTTGTCTGCCAGCTTAGTTCATATTTCGCGCCATGCTGGTGCTGCCACCTATAGGCGTTGCCACTTCAGCCTGCCTGCCCTTGCCTCACTCTCACAGCGGCCTAGCAGGAAGACACAAGGCCTACTCCTAGCTCTCTCTCGTGGGATGGCCCTGCCCGGGCCATGGGCACAACACATAAGCCTGTGTACCCACCACGACTTAACAATAAAGTAAGAAGCCTCCGAAGACGTATCATTTACTCGCCGCTACCAGAACACCCCTTGCTCCCGGAATTTTAGTCGCCTCCTACAACACTGTGAAGGCTTACTCAGCCCTGTAACAACTTCAGACAGTATTACCAAGGCTGGCTCCTCCTTAGGAAAATTAATGAATAGAAAAAGAAATAATAATTCACAAAGATAAACACTTCATTATTTAGTAATGCAAAGATAAAACATTGAAAAAATGAATGTGTATCCTATTTGACAGAAAAATGAAAAATGAAATAAAAATATGACATTTGAATTTAACACTAATATGTACAGTTATGCTGGGGTGTCTGGTGGAGGTTGACACCGTCTTGTAGAAATTGTAGCTGTTACTGATGATGGGGGGGGGGGGATCACAGGTGTTGAGTGACAACCCAACGACTAGTTCTTCACAGAGTCTATAGCCTTGAATAGTCAGTCCAGATGGCAGGAATGCAGGTTCTTTACCACTGCAAAGATGAGGAGTAGTTTCCTGCAGGTGGGCTACCATGAATCAGGTTGGTAGATCAAAAAGTGACGTCTCCGAACTTCAGTCCATCTCTTTCAACACTTCTCGTTGGTTGGCAGGTGACCCGAGCTGTCATTCCAAGCTGGAAAGAGAGACAGGTTACCCACTGCTTAAGAAATCACTCTCCATGATAAGTGCAAGATACTTAAAAAGGTGGTGACTATCTAAAAGTCTCGTGTGGAGCTTAAAACTGAAAGGACTAAGTTTATTATTGGTCAGAAGTGAAGCTTTCGACCAATATCCACTAGAATAGGAGCAGAGGCTTTTACTTACAGTTGTGCTGGGAGCAGTGAGTATATTGATTTTTGTTTGGCCGGAGCCCCACATGTCACCTTTCGGGGTGGGGAAAAAAGGGGGGGGGGATAGTGGGAGCTAGACTGACCCTACCTAAACAAGCAGCTGGCAATCAAACCATCATTACCATATACTCGCTCGCTACTCCTATCTGTTGAACTTTTCCCTCACAAACACGCATGGCTTACGGAGGAAGAATTCTGTTCCACTTCCCCATGGATGTAAGAGAAAATAAACAAGAACAAGAACTAGTAAGAAAATAGAAGAAAACCCAGAGGGGTGTGTATATCTATGCTTGTATATGTATGTGTAATGTGACCTAAGTGTAAGTACAAGTAGCAAGACGTACCTGAAACCTTGCATGTTTATGAGACAGAAAAATGGACACCAGCAATCCTACCATCATGTAAAACAATTGCAGGCTTTCGTTTTACACTCATTTGGCAGAACGGGGAGTTTTGAACCAAGTGTGAGAGTACTTGTGGTTGGGGATTTCAATGCTAAAATGGGTTAAAAATGTTGTGGAGGGAGTATTAGGTAAATTTGAGGTGCCAGGGGTAAATGTAAATGGGGAGCCTTTAATTGAGCTATGTGTAGAAAGAGATTTGGTAATAAGTAATACATATTTTATGAAAAAGAGGATAAATAAATATACAAGGTATGATGTAGCACGTAATGAAAGTAGTTAGATTATGTATTGGTAGATAAAAGGTTAATGGGTAGGCTCCAGGATGTACAGGTTTATAGAGGGGCAACTGATATATCGGATCATTATTTAGTTGTAGCTACAGTTAGAGTAAGAGGTAGATGGGACAAGAGGAAGGTGGCAACAACAAGTAGGAGAGAAGTGAAAGTGTATAAACTAAGGGAGGAGGGAGTTCGGGTGAGATATAAGCGACTATTGGCAGAAAGGTGGGCTAGTGCAAAGATGAGTAGTGGGGGGGTTGAAGAGGGTTGGATGAGTTTTAAAAATGCAGTATTAGAATGTGGGGCAGAAGTTTGTGGTTATAGGAGGGTGGGGGCAGGAGGAAAGAGGAGTGATTGGTGGAATGATGGAGTAAAGGGTGTGATAAAAGAGAAAAAGTTAGCTTATGAGAGGTTTTTACAAAGCAAAAGTGTTATAAGAAGAGTAGAGTATATGGAGGGTAAAAGAAAGGTGAAGAGAGTGGTGAGAGAGTGCAAAAGGAGAGCAGATGATAGAGTGGGAGAGGCACTGTCAAGAAATTTTAATGAAAATAAGAACAAATTTTGGAGTGAGTTAAACAAGTTAAGAAAGCCTAGGGAATGTATGGATTTGTCAGTTAAAACAGAGTAGGGGAGTGAGTAGATGGGGAGAGGGAGGTATTAGGTAGATGGCGAGAATATTTTGAGGAACTTTTAAATGTTGAGGAAGAAAGGGAGGCGGTAATTTCATGCACTGGCCAGGGAGGTATACCATCTTTTAGGAGTGAAGAAGAGCAGAATGTAAGTGTGGGGGAGATACATGAGGCATTACGGAGAATGAAAGGGGGTAAGCAGCTGGAACTGATGGGATCATGACAGAAATGTTAAAAGCAGGGGGGATATAGTGTTGGAGTGGTTGGTACTTTTGTTTAATAAATGTATGAAAGAGGGGAAGGTACCTAGGGATTGGTGGAGAGCATGTATAGTCCCTTTATATAAAGGGAAGGGGGACAAAAGAGATTGTAAAAATTATAGAGGAATAAGTTTATTGAGTATACCAGGAAAAGTGTACGGTAGGGTTATTATTGAAAGAATTAGAGGTAAGACAGAATGTAGCATTGTGGATGAGCAAGGAGGTTTCAGAGTGGGTAGGGGATGTGTAGATCAAGTGTTTACATTGAAGCATATATGTGAACAGTATTTAGATATAGGTAGGGAAGTTTTTATTGCATTTATGGATTTAGAAAAGGCATATGATAGAGTGGATAGGGGAGCAATGTGGCAGATGTTGCAAGTACATATATGGAATAGGTAGTAAGTTACTAAATGCTGTAAAGAGTTTTTATGAGGATAGTGAGGCTCAGGTTAGGGTGTGTAGAAGAGAGGGAGACTACTTCCCGGTAAAAGTAGGTCTTAGACAGGGATGTGTAATGTCACCATGGTTGTTTAATACATTTATAGATGGGATCGTAAAAGAAGTAAATGCTAGGGTGTTCGGGAGAGGGGTGGGATTAAATTATGGGGAATCAAATACAAAATGGGAATTGACACAGTTACATTTTGCTGATGATACTGTGCTTATGGGAGATTCTAAAGAAAAATTGCAAAGGTTAGTGGATGAGTTTGGGAGTGTGTGTAAAGGTAGAAAGTTGAAAGTGAACATAGAAAAGAGTAAGGTGATGAGGGTATCAAATGATTTAGATAAAGAAAAAAATTGGATATCAAATTGGGGAGGAGGTGTATGGAAGAAGTGAATGTTTTCACATACTTGGGAGTTGACGTGTTGGTGGATGGATTTATGAAGGATGAGGTTAATCATAGAATTGATGAAGGAAAAAAGGTGAGTGGTGCGTTGAGGTATATGTGGAGTCAAAAAACGTTATCTATGGAGGCAAAGAAGGGAATGTATGAAAGTATAGTAGTACCAACACTCTTAAATGGGTGTGAAGCTTGGGTTGTGAATGCATCAGCGAGGAGGCGGTTGGAGGCAGTGGAGATGTCCTGTTTCAGGGCAATGTGTGGTGTAAATATTATGCAGAAAATTCGGAGTGTGGAAATTAGGAAAAGGTGTGGAGTTAATAAAAGTATTAGTCAGAGGGTGGAAGACGGGTTGTTGAGGTGGTTTGGTCATTTAGAGAGAATGGATCAAAGTAGGATGACATGGAGAGCATTTAAATCTGTAGGAGAAGGAAGGCAGGGTAGGAGTCATCCTCGAAAAGGTTGGAAGGAAGGGGTGAGGGAGGTTTTGTGGGTGAGGGGCTTGGACTTCCAGCAGGCGTGCATGAGCGTGTTCGATAGGAGTGAATGGAGACGAATGGTATTTGGGACCTGACGATCTGTTGGAGTGTGAGCAGGGTAATATTTAGTGAAGGGATTCAGAGAAACCGGTTTTTTTGATATAGCCGGACTTGAGTCCTGGAAATGGGAAGTACAATGCCTGCACTCTAAAGGAGGGGTTTTGGGATATTAGCAGTTTGGAGGGATATGTTGTGTATCTTTATACATATATGCTTCTAAACTATTGTGTTCTGAGCACCTCTGCAAAAACAGTGATTATGTGTGAGTGAGGTGAAAGTGTTGAATGATGATGAAAGTACAGTGGACCCCCGCTTAACGATCACCTCCAAATGCGACCAATTATGTAAGTGTATTTATGTAAGTGCGTTTGTACGTGTATGTTTGGGGGTCTGAAATGGACTAATCTACTTCACAATATTCCTTATGGGAAAAAATTCGGTCAGTACTGGCACCTGAACATACTACTGGAATGAAAAAAGTTCGTTAACCGGGGGTCCACTGTATTTTCTTTTTGGGGATTTTCTTTCTTTTTGGGTCACCCTGCCTCGGTGAGAGACGGCCGACTTATTGAGAAAAAAAAAATTATTTAAAGACTATATAATAATTGTATCTCTAGTTCTTTACCAATGTCTACCAAACAAATATGAGCACTCCATACATGTAAAAAAATAGGCAAAATATGAATGCATGTGATAATACAATAGTCCTAAAAATAATTTCTTCCTGAAAATAATTGATTTGAATGTTTACACTGTTTGCTATGTTCGTAGCTTCAGATAGGAGTTCGTAAGAAATTAATTGGCTCCAAAGTGCACTCATGTTCATAATTTGAATGCTTATGAGTTAAAGACTCGTGTAGTTTTTATTTATTGTGTTATCTATAAATCTGAATGTAAGCAAGCTTGACTGAAGCTGACTTAATCTAGTGTTTATAATTCATTGCCTTTTTGTTTTCTTTTTTACAGACACGTTCACTTCTAAATATCATTGAACCTTCATTGGTTGAAGAAGCATTTGAGTTTTTGGATCAGATTCGAGTGCCTCAAAATCCATCTCGAATCCTTACCCTTGCAACACGCACTTATTCATCCTATAAGATTGCTGGTTATCTAAGCCCTGAAACTGCCTTGGATATAGAGTTGATGTCTCCTGATGTTGCCAGTGTACCTTTGTGTGATAAGTCAAACAATAGACTTACAGATATGGGACGAATTAGTACCACAATTATAACTAATAAAGAGATAGATATTATGGATGTACAAGAGAACAGTGTGTATAGACCAACTGATGAACCTGAACCTTGGGATCTGATCCAGCTCAATGTGCAGGCCAGTGTAATGTGCCTCAGTAGCAAAATAAAAACTTTCTGTAAGAGAATGAATGAGGTTATTGGGAATAAAGGGTTAGTGCCTAATGTTAATGAAAACGAATCACAAAGTGAATTCCAGAGAACTTCAAAAGATAAAAATAATGATACTAGACAAAACGAAAATTGTTTATTGAATAGTGTTTGTGAAAGAACCAGTCCGAGTAAAAGTAAAGTGTCAGTGAGTGAAGCCCAGAATATCAGCTCAAATCTTGCAGCTCAAAACCCAGCTCTTATTTCATCATCAGTTGGCTCTGATACAAGCCAAGTCTCAGGGAGGTCAGTGTCATCTAGTCTGGGTGTTGCCAGAACCAATGAAAGTCAACAGTCTTCCTGTTCTGCAACACCTGATGTCTCTCCATGTGAAGAAGACAGTGGCATTGGTCTAGAACGTGTTACAAGTGAAGTTGAAAAAACGGATTGTATAAGTGAAGGTGGACTCTCAGCTGATGAGGAAAGAAGAGATGATCTCTTACCCCTTGACAAGGTTGAGATAAATGACTCGCGTTATGTGGGTGATAGTACATGTGTCAAATCTGGTAAATTAGAATCAATAATGGAACAAAGTATAGAAGATTTAGGTAGTACAGCAGATGGAGAATTGAAGTCAGAAATTTGTAATGATAAAATTATGTCTGATGGTTTAACTGTGTGTGTGAATGAAGATACTTCAGTAACTAAGCCAAATGAATCTGAAACTAACACAGAATACCTGCAGTCTGATGTATCAAGGATCAGTGATGATAGTGATAAAACGTGCGTGGAGCTTCATAGACATGGGGAAGAGGAAAATGAAAACAGTGAGAGAGACATTATTAATTCTAACAATATTTGTAGATTTGCTGAAACAGATAATAAAATTAAAAGTACAAATAAAGAACTGTCATTTAAAACAGTGTCAAGTAATGAAACAGTGATACAAGATAAAAATGAAGCCAACACTCCTGAGGAAGTAGACTGGGTAGGAGAAGTCAGACCAAGCATGAAAAAGCTGAGACAAGCAATGGATGGATTAATGCGAACTGCACGCCTTGTACACAGTGTGTTTCGTTTACAGCAAACTCCAGAAGCTGCACAGCAGTCCCATGGTATCAAATACAGAAGAGATATTTGTTTTTCACAAGCGGTAAGTAAAGTCGAGCAGTACTTAACTACCCATCAAGAAGTAATCTAGGCATTTGGTGCTACATTGCCAAAACTCTTTAATCCCTTCTCTGTCGAAGGCCTCAAAATTAATCCTTTCACTGTCTTGTGCGTAAATCTACGTTGTGAATAAATGGTTTGCACAAGTAGACATATCCCTTGGATAAGTTGTGAGCGGTAAATTTTGGCCTAGACATGAGAGAATGAATCTGTGCAGTGAGTGTGCACTATAAAAAATATCCTGCCCCACACAGTTCATGATGGGAAAAGCAAACTTTTGACCGTGTGTTTGGTTTAAAATAGTGACTCGGGGGTGTATTCTAGTAAGGCTGTTTCTTTATATTATTTGATAGAATGGAAGACATACTTCTGAAATAAAAATGATTTTGGTTGGTTTCTGGATTGCAAGAAGCTTGAAATCAGGCTCAGAGTAGCAGAAATACAGTGGAACCTCAAATATCGAACTTTCTTCGGTCCAGAAGTCTGTTCGAGTGCCCTTTACCGAATTAATTTATTCCCATCAGGAATAATGTAAATTAGATTAGTCCATTTCAGACCCTTAAAAATACACTTATAAAGCACTTACAAAAATACACTTACATAATTGGTTGTGTTGGGAGCAGTTCGATTTTTGAGGTTCCACTGTATTCAATTTTTGAAGATTTTCCTGGAAATGGGTAAGGCCTCCTTACACTCCCAGTATGTTTTATGGGTTTTTAGTACATCTGATTCAGTTATTATTATGAAAGTATTTCTTTTTGGGGATTTTCTTTCTTTTTTGGGTCACCCTGCCTCGGTGGGAGACGGCCGATTTGTTGAAAAACAAAAAAAAATTATTATCCAAGAAATTGAATAAATCTGTGATTTTTGTGTGATAATGAATTCAAAATGGAGGGCAAGTGTAATTCAGGAGAAGTCTGAGGATGTAATTAATGAGCAGAGGAAATGTTGGTTTAGTGCCTGGAATGTCTACTATGTTTCATTTCAACTTTGTATTTAAATTGGTCTTTTTTAATTTTGTGTAAAATTGGCAGAACTACTGAATTCTGTGTGGTTTTTAGGGTAGCTCTGATAATTGAATGGGCCATTTCACGTGCTCAGTCATTAGAATGGAAGGTGTGCTAATGAAATAGTAAAGAATTGTTGAATTGAGCAATGGAATTGGCTTAAAATAAGACTCAAAGTAGGTGAAATTGCTGGTGCATAAATTGTACATAGACCACTAATTTTACACCTATCTAATTCTGTAAGTTTACCATCAAATTTAACATTTTTGGTGTCATTACCTTCAGAAAAATATTCTCTACTATTTCAAAATTGATTTGAGTAAAAAAAAAAAATTAAATACCATCAATGTGAACACTTTTAATTTTGGAGCTTCTGACATTGAAAGGCTTAAAAGTTCTCTGTGTTAGCAGTTAAAAAACAAAAAAGTCCCTGCAGAGGTAGAAAATACAAATTCTGTTGCTTGGTTTGACCAAATTCCTAGCTATTTTGCTAATATGCTTATAGACTGAGCACAAGAAACTGCCTATTCAACTATTAGAACTAAAATACACAGAAGCCGGTAATTTGGCGAGTTTTACACAAAGTAAAAAACTCCAATTTAAAAACAGAGCAAAAAATAGACAGACATTTTAGGCACTAAAGCAACATTTCCTTGGTTCATTGATCACATCTTCAGGCCTTTCTTATATTATACTTGCCCCCCATTTTGAATTCTTTATTAGGAATGATAGGTCCCCAGAAAAATCTTCAAAAATTTAACATATCCGCTACTTTGAACCTCATTTCAAGCTAACTTCCAGTATCAGAGCCAGCCAAATTTATCTACGTATTTCAGTACTATGTCTTCCTTTCCATCAAATGATACCAAGAAATAGCCAGTAAAACCATAAAAACTCTAAATCACCTCAACTTTATTTTAAACCAAATACAAGGTGAGAGTTTTGCTTTTCCCATCATGAACTGTATGGGGCAGGATTTTTTCTTATACTGTGCACACTCACCACACACTCATTCTCTCATGTCTAGGCCAAAATTTCCTGGTAACAGCTTATCTGAGGAAGCTGAGCTTAGAATGTAGGCCTATGTAAATGACCCTGGGCATCAATAAAGTAGATCTATGTAAGTAACCCTAGGCATCAATAAAGTAGATTACGTAAGTGACCCTGGGCATCAATGAAGCAGATCTACGAAAGTGAGCCTGGGCTTCAATAAAGGGTTAACAGGCAATTATTCTATAATTTGATTATCAGTACAGTATTTCAGATGAAAATCAATCATATACATGTTATCATAAGTCATTTACATTTGTTTAATTCAGTTTCTTTTTTACTTAACTGACACAAAAATCTCTAAGAAACATAAAAAGGAATTTACCCATTGTTAAGAAACTTATTTTGTAGCCAAAATTTGAGTATAAACGAGACTCCACTTTTCCTTTGTGAATTTTCAAACATTAAATAAGAAACTGTTTTGTCTGTTAATTTCTGCAAACAAAATGGTAGATCTTCTTCTTGTTTCAACAAACCAGCCATATCCCACTGAGGCAGGGTGGCCTAAAAAAAAAGAAAAACCAAAGATTCTCTTTATAAATTTAGTAATTTATACAGGAGAAAAGGTTACTAGCCCCTTGTTCCCAGCATTTTAGTCGCCTCTTACAACACGCATGGCTTATGGAGGAAGAATTCTGTTCTACTTCCTCATGAAGATAAGAAGAAATAAACAAGAACAAGAAATTGTAAGAAAATAGAAGAAAACCCAGAGGGGTGTGTGTATATATTCTTGTATACATGTATGTGTAGTGGGACCTAAGTGTAAGTAGAACTAGCAAGACGTACTTGAAATCTTGCATGTTTATGAGACAGAGAAAAGACACCAGTAATCCTACCATTAGGTAAAACAAGTACAGGCTTCCGTTTTACACTCGCTTGGCAGAACGGTAGTACCTCCCTGGGTAGTTGCTGTCTACCAACCTACTACCTAGAAAAATGGTATATTCTCTCAGAATAAATTTTGTATAGTTATTTAGCTTGCATTTAATTATGTCAGAATAAGATATAATTTTGAGCTTAGAACCTACATTCAAGCACAAGGATTACCCCACAATTACACAAGTATTTTCTTCATGTAACTTGATGGAATTTAGCAAATTTGTTTATTTTACAGTTTAAGGGAAAATTATTTAATAATAGTGGAGTTTACAATTCCTGAATATAGGCACCTGTTTTAAGTGTGGACCCTTGAGGGTGATGTTTCTTGATATTGGTCCTAGAATTAGAACTGACCTCCCTTTCTCTGATCAATGTGATTACCTCTCATTTCCCAGGATCTGTATAGCCCATGCATCTTTAACAGTTCATTGTGAATATAATACTATAACAATTTAAGTGTGGAGTTTTGTAACTGTAGACAGACAAACATTTAACCAAGTTGACCAGTCTAGCACCAGACTAGCCTGGCCCAAGGCTGGGCTCCGGGATTAGAACAACTCTCAGAACTGATCAAAGATATTTATATATGTGGGAGCTTCTTATTAATTTGTGTTGTTTAGAGTATAGTTCTGTGTAAATATTGTATATCTTTTAGCTGACCACATTGGTGACGAGCTTGATGACAAGACTGTGGTGCAGAAAAGCAGACCCATTGTTTGTGACTGTCTTGGCTCATCTGGGACCACTTGCTGAATTTGAGTGCCTTGTTTCATGTCATGGGTAAGTTTTAAAGCTTCATTTAACCTTTCTTCATGACAACAACTGATGTTGTTATATGGACCCAGTGTTCTCTTTTTTTTTACCAGTTTTTCATTTTATATATTTTTTTGTTTTCTTTCATTGATAAACACTAGAACATAGTTTTCTATGGACACTGGTTGCCTTATTATTTATTTTAGTTCTTAAATTTTATTAAACAAAATTCAACACAACAGTTTGGTTCATATACAAACACTAAACTGAGAACATTTCTAACTGATTTAGTTTTTACCATTTTTAATATATTTACACAATGTACAGTCACTATAGATGCTATTGGAATTCTTTCAGTGTATGTATGGAACTTGTCAAAACAAGGATGTGGTGTCTCACAAGACTTGCAGATAAACATTAGGAAAACCTTAAGTTGTGCAATCATAGCTTGTGTTTTTAACCCTTTGAGGGTCTGTCCCATAGTTCTGCGGCTTTGAAGCCTGGGTCCATGCCGTAGAACTATGGCTTGAGCTCAGCTCACTCAGATAAGCTGTAAGCGGTAATTTTGTACCTAAATATGAGACCACATCTATGTGGTAAGTGTGCACCACATAAAACAAATACTGCAGCATGCAGTGCATAATTAGAAAAAAAACTGCGACCGTATTTTGGGATTAAAACAGCGACTTTGCTAATTTTTTTTTTCTATGTTTTTTATAGTTGCATTCGTGATTTCTTGGTCTCCTTTGATAGAATGGAAAATATATTATAGAAATAAAGATGATTTTGATTGGTTTTAATACTGAAAATGGCTTGAAACTGAGCTCAAAGTAGCAGAAATGTTCAATTTTTGCTGATGCTCAAGAGTAGACAGATGACGTCACGCATCTAATACACATCAGCTGGTGGGTCTAATATACGTTCACAAATGTGCTGATATTATTTATTCAATTATTACAATATTGCATGACAGTAAATCTTCTATTTTTTGGGGTGAATAAAAATTCATTATGTGAATAAAAAATCAAAATGGAATTCATTTGTAAAGCCTGAAAACATAACTAATAAACAGATGAAATGTTAGTTTGGTGCCAGGAATGCCTTCATTGTTTATTCTGGACCCTATTTTGAAATATGAATACAGTGGACCCCCGCATAACGATTACCTCCGAATGCGACCAATTATGTAAGTGTATTTATGTAAGTGCGTTTGTACGTGTATGTTTGGGGGTCTGAAATGGACTAATCTACTTCACAATATTTCTTATGGGAACAAATTCGGTCAGTACTGGCACCTGAACATACTTCTGGAGTGAAAAAATATTGTTAACCGGGGGTCCACTGTTTCAAACTTTGTGTAAAATTGGCCAAATTACAAATTTCTGATCACTTTACTGGGTAGTTGAAACAGCTGATTGGGGGATTTCCTGTGCTCAGACAATAAAATAGAACTAATACTAGTGAAATAGCTAAGAATTTGGTCGAATGGAATAATGGAATTGGAGTAAAATGGGAATCAAAATCGGCAAAATTGCTGATGCTTAAATTACCCTTTCCCAGGCCTGGTAAAGGGTTATGTATTGCTGATGCAGCAAAATTTGCGAGAGCGTAATTTCATCAGTTTTCCATCAAATGTCGTACTTTTTGTTTTATTACCTTCAGATAAATATTTTCTACCATTTCATAAGAAAAATAACAAAAAATTTTTTTTAAAATTCTTGGGCCCTGACTGTCACTCTGAGATTTGACCTTTGGACCCTCTAAGGGTTAATATTCTGCTTTTTAAATTTAGTTTTTCATTTCCATTAGAAGCATGCCATTTCCATTATCCCTTAAACTGTCCAAACGTAGATCTACGTCCACGTAGATCTACGTTTTTTTTTACGTTTTCAAATGGGGAGAATCAAAGTCGGAGCGCTATGCACATGAACGTAGATCTACGTTTGGACAGTTTAATTGTTAAGGCATGCTGAAGTGGAATTCATTTCCCTTAGTGCTGCCACAGAGGGTGGGGGGATGTACACAAACAGCTGCTCATGTGGGTTGGTGTATCTGGACACGTGCTGTACAAATTTTGCTCAGTGCAATTCGCTCAGTTTTGTCCTTCTTTTCGTCACCGCATCTCATCTCTGGATATTTATCATGACATCCAAATGAAATACAGGTGATGTTTGTGAAGTAAGTGGAAGATTAAATGTGAAACTATGCTTATTACAAAAAATGTAGGTAATTGAGATGCTGAAGGGTGGTGCACGTGTCATGGTGATGGCATGAGGGATTGGTGTTAGAGAATCAGCTGTTTGGTTAATTCAAGACAATGAGGCAAAGATAATGTGCAATGAGTAATGCTCAGTACGACACAATGAAAAGAATGAGGAATAGGTCATTACAGTTGACTGAAACAGAAAGTTTACTAAATATGTGGACTGAGAAACAAAGACAGGTGTTCCACTTAAGGCTGCATGTCACCTGTTTACCACCATTCAAAAATACAGTACTTTAATCTCAATTATGAGCCTATTTAATTCCTAATATAGGCATATTGGAATTAAACTAATTGTATGTATACAGCATTACATACCTCTCTATAAATACATGTATTGCTGCTCGTGGTACACATCATTAGTGATACACTCTTCAGTATACGTACAGAAAGCTGCTGATTATTTGGCTTGTGTTAATACTTGTTAATACTTATGTTTTGGGTGTGCAAAAGAAGAAAATTGAAAGTGAATACAGGAAAGAGTAAGGTTATGAGGATAACAAAAAGATTAGGTGATGAAAGATTGGATATCAGATTGGAGGGAGAGAGTATGGAGGAGGTGAATGTATTCAGATATTTGGGAGTGAACGTGTCAGCGGATGGGTCTATGAAAGATGAGGTGAATCATAGAATTGATGAGGGGAAAAGGGTGAGTGGTGCACTTAGGAGTCTGTGGAGACAAAGAACTTTGTCCTTGGAGGCAAAGAGGGGGAATGTATGACAGTATAGTTTTACCAACGCTCTTATATGGGTGTGAAGCATGGGTGATGAATGTTGCAGCGAGGAGAAGGCTGGAGGCAGTGGAGATGTCATGTCTGAGAGCAATGTGTGGTGTGAATATAATGCAGAGAATTCGTAGTTTGGAAGTTAGGAGGAGGTGCGGGATTACCAAAACTGTTGTCCAGAGGGCTGAGGAAGGGTTGTTGAGGTGGTTCGGACATGTGGAGAGAATGGAGCGAAACAGAATAACTTCAAGAGTGTATCAGTCTGTAGTGGAAGGAAGGCGGGGTAGGGGTCGGCCTAGGAAAGGTTGGAGGGAGGGGGTAAAGGAGGGGCTTGGACTTCCAGCAGGCATGCATGAGCGTGTTTGATAGGAGTGAATGGAGACAAATGGTTTTTAATACTTGACGTGCTGTTGGAGTGTGAGCAAAGTAACATTTATGAAGGGGTTCAGGGAAACCGGCAGGCCGGACTTGAGTCCTGGAGATGGGAAGTACAGTGCCTGCACTCTGAAGGAGGGGTGTTAATGTTGCAGTTTAAAAACTGTAGTGTAAAGCACCCTTCTGGCAAGACAGTGATGGAGTGAATGATGGTGAAAGTTTTTCTTTTTCGGGCCTCCCTGCCTTGGTGGGAATCGGCCAGTGTGATGATAAAAAATAATACTTACGTTTTGTTTATGTATTGCGAAATAAATATAATTAGGTTATGCTAATTGCTTAAAAATATACCTTAAAAATATTTTAAGGTATCATTGTAGCCATGGGTAAGAAAAAATGTCATTGGCCATTCTTCAATTTTCTCATCTTAGTTTTGTACTAATAACTATTTTTTTTTATCACACTGGCCGATTCCCACCAAGGCAGGGTGGCCCGAAAAAGAAAAACTTTCACCATCATTCACTATGGCTTACAAATTCATTATGTAAATGTAAATTACAGTCGCTGTTTTTATAAAAGCTGATTAAAAATCTAATGTAATTTTCAGAAGAGAGGAAGGTATGCTGAGTGACATGGTTGTTGCTGTGGAGGATCTTGGAACAGTTGAGTTTGTTATGGTGTCTTCTGCAGGACCACAAAATGGTGGACGTACACGTAGTGAAGGAGCTGTGCCCCCACCACCATCATATGAGTTACCTATGCCATATGTCTCAGGAAATAGGTACAGTATTCTTCAAAATTAAAATTTATAAATAAAATTAATTCTTTTGAAATACAGTATAGTACTGTAATATAAATAAGTGGATGCTGAGAGTAAAGGTCTTGTGTATCTGACTTCTAACTGTCCTTGTTGGATTTTGTCTTAGTGTCTGGCATTAGAATTTCACTAGAAGCAAGTAATCAACTTATGTACAATATGAAGAATTAGACATATGCAACACCTGTGTATTTTTATTTGAAGAAGTTTTGCCAACCAGTAATTTTATCAGTTCAATACAGAGATGATTTATGAAGACATTACATAATGAAGTAATCAGTCCTTCAACCTTGCGAAACTACACACAGAAAACAGTGGGAGATAAGGTTAATCAGTCCTTCATCCTGGAAGCTAGTGTTCAGTACCTAAGGAACTGATTGCTTCATCTTTTACAAGGATTGTATATCATCCTTGTATTAAATTAATCGAGTCACTGGTTGGTGTAATGCCTTCAAAGAAAGACACCCGGGTGTTACACGTATGTCTAATTTCTAATCTTGTGGGTATTGTATACAGTGGACCCCTGCCTTACGATATTAATCCGTTCCTAACTGAGCTTGCTACCACCTGCAGCTCACAAGACTGCCATCCCCACGAGCCCCTTTGGGGCGGGGCAGATGGCAGACCAGAGGCCTAGCTTCTCCCTGTGAGCCCTGTGAGGGCAGGGACTGTGGCTAGGCCTGGGGACACTTGGTCCCAAAGATGTGGGGGTACTTGTACCTCCTCCCGTGGGAGACTTAGGTCCCGAGACACTCCCCAGATAGGGAGCCAAGGCCGGGTCACCACTCTTGGAAAAGACCCAGGCCGGGAGAGTACTGGCGAAAAAAAAAAAATCCATTCCTGAGAGCTCATCGTAAGCTGAAATTATCGTAAGACGAATTAATTTTCCCCATAAGAAATAATAGAAATCAAATTAATCCGTGCAAGACACCCCAAAGTATGAAAAAAGAAAATTTTTTACCACATGAAATATTAATTTTAATACACACAAACTGCGGAAGACATGCACAGTTACTACTCTACTAAGAATAAAATACATGACACTTACCTTTATTGAAGATCTGGTGATGATTGATGGGATGGGAGGAGGGGAGAGTGTAGAAGTTATTGTTTAGAAGGGGAATCCCCTTCCATTAGGACTTGAGGTAGCAAGTCCTTTTCCGGGGTTACTTCCCTTCTTCTTTTAATGCCACTAGGACCAGCTTGAGAGTCTCTGGATCTCTGTCGCACAACAAATCTGTCCATAGAGGTCTGTACCTCCCGTTCCTTTAATGCCTAAAATGGGCCACAACATTGTCATTGTAATAGTCACCAGCATGGCTTGCAATAGCTGTGTTAGGGTGATTTTCATCCATAAAGGTTTGCACTTCAACCCACATTGCACACATTTCCTTAATCTTTGAAGTAGGCAGAATCGATTCCACAACTGGCATAGGCTTCTCAGGGTTAGCCCCAAACCCTTCAAAATCTTTCTTAATTTCCATACTAATTCTCACCCTTTTTACCACACGGTTGGCACTAGAAGCTTTCTTGGGGCCCATGGTGACTTATTTTGCAGTTACAAGCACAAAAAACACTGGGATGAGGTGAAATGTACCGAATGTATGCGTGGATGCGACCACACTGGCTGGCTTGTAAACACTGGCACCCATGGGGCAGCTGAGGCGACACGTGGGATGCGTCCCGGACAAATCACGTAAGGCAAGTTTTTTATTGTGAGGAGGCAAAATTTTTGCATTCAAATGCTTCGTATGGCAGATTTAACGTAATGCGATGCGTTCGTAAGGCAGGGGTCCACTGTATTATATTGTAGTAAGTATTGTACATTCTTTGCTATATGGCGACCATTTTTCTTAATTAATACTGTCATAATAGGCCCATGTCTTATGGCAGAGATATCAAAAAAAGATATAGTCAATAATAAACATTCAGAAACACTTTTTTTTTTTTTAATGAACCGACTGTATCCCACCAAGGCAGGGTGACCTAAACAGAAAACTGAAAGGATTCAGAAACATTATATAATGTTTAACCCTTTTACTGTCAAGACCCCTGATCTTGAACTCACTGTCTGTGTTGAAAAATGTTCGGAAAAATAAAAAAAATTTCTTACCAAAATCTTAAGAATATCTTTGTGAGTGTTTCAAAAGAAAAAAAAATTGTGCTCAGTACTTACCGAGATATAGAGGCATGAAGCTGACAGAAAGGGAACCGCTTACGGCAATATTGGCGACTACCGCTCACTCGGTAATATTATTTTTACTTTGATTTTTTCTTATCTTTTCTAATATTTTATTTTTTCAAGTAACTTTTGTTGCCTGTGAGGCCAATATAATGCATAATGTATATACAGTGGACCCTCAGTTATTGGCTGTAATCCATTCCAGAAGATCAGCCTAAAACCTAAATGGCCGAAAACCGAAATAATATATATCCATAAGAATTAATGTAAATACAATTAATCTGCTCCAAACACCCAAAAATATTAACAAAAAATACATTTTTTAAAGATTAACTATAGTTTTACATACACAAAACAATCAGAACTAAATAAAATACTCACTTGTGCTTTATAGTAATCTGTTTACATTAATGTTTTATCACTGATTTCATCATTGCTTAGTTAATCTAAGTTAATTTTAAGCCAGCCCGTAATGCTATGCATAGTATAAGTGGCTTTGGCATGCTGCTCTTATCTGTATTTTTTTGTACCTCTGTATATGTGCTCAAATTGATAATAAATAAATAAATAAATAAATAAATAAATAAATAAATTATTAAAATTTGGGCCCATGGTGGCTTATTTCTCAGCTGTACTCAGTCAATAACCACAAAAAAACAATGGAGTATAGCAAAATGTTTGGATGAATGCGTGGAATCTTTCCCTCTCATGAACGTGGCAGAGCGGCGGGTGGATGTGTCCAATACGGCTGATCTCGGAAATATGGTGGACCCCCAACCAACGGTGGCATCAGTAACGGCAAATTTGTCTAACGGTGCTCATTGGCGTTCCGGACAGTGTTCGTCCGGAACGTGTCTATGCGGCGGGAGCGCGGTCTGAGTGGGCTTAGCCACTCCAAGACTTAGTGTGCCATTGTTTACAAGCTGTTGCGGTCGATTCCACATGTGCCTGCCATATTGGATTATTCCAGTGTTTTTAGCACTCGTAACCGCTAAATAAGCCATCATGGGCCCCAAGAAAGCTTCTAGTGCCAAGCCTGTGTTAAAAAGGGAGAGAATTATGATGGAACTGAAGAAGGAGATAATTGAAAAATACGAGAGTGGAGTGCGTATGTCCGAGTTGGAAAAGCAATATAACAAATTCCATTCAACCATCAGTACTATCTTGGCGAACAGAAAGGCAATCAAGGAAGCTGTTGTTGTGAAAGGTGCAAGTATGTTTTCAAAACGGAGACTGCAAGTAATTGAAGAGGTAGAGAGACTGTTACTGGTATGGATGAACGAAAAATAATTATCAGGAGATAGTGTTTCTCAGTCTATAATTTGTGAAAAGGCAAGGCAGTTGCATGATGATTTCATTAAGAAAATGCCTCAAAATAGTGATGATATTGATGAATTTAAGGCCAGCAAAGGCTGGTTTGAGAGATTTAAGAATCGTAGTGGCATACACAGTGTGGTAAGGCATGGTGAGGCTGGCAGTTCAGACAAAAAAATGGCTCAAAAATATGTGAAGGACTTTAAGGAATACATAGAGACTGAAAACTTAAAACCTGAACAGGCCTGTTTTGGAAGAAAATGCCGAACAGGACCTACATTACTCAGGAGGAAAAGGGACTCCCAGGACATAAGCCTATGAAAGACAGGCTGACATTAATGTTGTGTAGTAATGCTAGTGGTGATTGCAAAGTGAAGCCTTTATTGGTATATCACTCTGAAACTTCCAGTGTGCTCAGGAAAAACAATATCGTCAAGGGTAATTTGTGTGTGCTGTGGAGATCAAACAGTAAGGCATGGGTCACTAGGGAACTTTTCTTTGACTGGTTTTATGGTGTATTTGGCCCCACTATGACAAAATACCTCCAGGAAAAGAAATTGTCACTCAAGTGCCTCCTAGTAATGGACAATGCTCCTGCTGATCCTCATGACTTACAAGAGGAAATTGCAGGGGAGTTTGGTTTTGTTAAAGTGGGAGTTTGGTTTTGTTAAAGTGAAGTTTTTGCCTCCTAATACAACTCCTCTCCTCCAGCCCATGGACCAGCAGGTCATTTCAAACTTCAAAAAACTCTACACAAAAGCAGTGTTTCAAAAGTGCTCTGAAGTGGCCTCAGACACTCAATTGACCCTAAGAGAAACTAATTTTGGAAAGATCACTTCAATATCCTAAGTTGCATAAACCTTATAGGTAAGGCTTGGGAGGGACTGACTAAGAGGACCTTGAACTCTGCTTGGAGGAAACTGTGGCCACAATGTGCACAAGAGAGGGATTTTGGAGGGTTTGGGGCTAACCCTCAGGAGTCTAAGCCAGTAGTGGAAGCTATTGTGTCAGTGAAGAATGTTCTTCAGAGCAAGAGGAAGAGAGACGGAGGAAGATGACTTCATCAAGGATTAGGGAAATGCATTCAATGTTTACAAAAGTGCAAGCATTTATGGATGAATTTTATCCTGTCACAGAAGTTGCAAGTCATATTGGCAACATGTACAATGAAACTCTTGTGTCCCATTTTAGGGAAATCCTAAGGGCACGTGAGAAACAGAGCTCTCTGGAAAGATATTTTGTGCGATAGGGGTCCAGTGACTCTCAAGCTGGGCCTAGTGGCATTAAAAAACCAAGAAGGGAGGAAACCCCACCAAAGGACTTAGTGCCTCAAGTCTTTATGGAAGGGGATTCCCCTTCCAAACAATAAAACACCTGCATCATCTTCCCTCCTACCGTCTCATCACTCATCAACAATTCCACTATAAAGATAAGTGACATTTGATTATTGTTTATTTTGCATGTTCCATTCGTTTTTGTGTAGGGAAATGTATATTTCATGTAAAAAAAATTTTGTTTAATACTTTTGGGTGTCTGGAACGGATTAATTCTATTTCCATTATTTCTTACGGAGAAAATTAATTCGACTAACAGCTAGCTCTCTGGAACGGATTAATGCCATTGGTCAAGGGTCCACTGTAATGGCTTTTTCTTGTTGATTCGCCGGTACTTCTGGCCCGGGTCTTCTCCAGATGGTGACCCGGCGACTGTAATGGCTGATAACCAGGATAGAATTTCGGCCAAAAAAGCGGGCGAAAACTGAATTGGCCAATATCCGGAACTGTCGATAACCGAGGATCCACTGTATATCCACTCATTGTATGCAACACAATAACCACACAAACATTGTTATCATTTTATTGTTTACAAAACATGTTTACACAAGCCCACACTGCCTTCCCCACCACCTACACTGCCTTCCCCACCACCCATGCTGCCTTCCCCACCACCCACACTGCCTTCCCCACCACCTATGCTGCCTTCCCCACCACCTATGTTGCCTTCCCCACCACCCACATGGAAATAAGTCACTTTGTCTGACTTTTTTGGGTTATCCTAGGTAATCTACACATATGCTGCTATGTTGTTTACACAAACCCACACTACCTTCTCCACCACCCACATGAAAATAAGTCACTTTGGCTGACTTTTTTGGGTTATCCTAGGTAATCTACATATGTGTTGCTGTGTTTACACAAACCCATACTGCTTTCTCCGCTACTCATGCTGCCTTCTCCATGACCCACACTGTCTTCCCCACCAACTATACTGTCTTCCCCACCACCCACATGGAAATAAGTCAGTTTGTCTGACTTTTTTGGTGGAAGGTGGGAGGGAGGTGCAAGGTTGATAATCGTCTGGGTTTTCGGCACTATTTCTGGTATCCTGGGCATTGCTTTTGGTCACAAACACCTCAAAACCATGAGATTCATCTTCACTGACACTTTAATCTGTGTTAGAACTATCACTTGGGAAGGGAAGAATCCCAATTTGCCGGGGAGTGAGATATTCCTCACTGCTAGGCTTGGTGACCAAGGCATACTGAATTAGCACTCCCACAATACATTGCGACCTCCCTGATTTTTTTTTATACTGCGCACACTGACCACAAACCCATTCTCTCACATGTAGGTCTACTAGGTTTCTCCTGCTTGATTTGAAGGTGCTAGAATTTTGGCATATTAATACGCCACCAACATTAGCTCATAAGCCGTACCTATACAGCTTACGAACTGGGTGGGGCGCGGTGACCATATTAGAAAGTCAGGTGGGGGGAGTTGTATAGCGAGTTTTGGTCATAATTTGAAATGTCTGTATTAGCGGAACGACGTAAAGCGAAATGCCGTGAAGCGGGGGCCCTATACCAGCAGCTGCACATTCATCCATCATCCACACTACCATCCATACCAGGCCACTGACATTACCTCCCACATGGTCACCATCACACCACCTCATCGCTTCCACCCTCCTCACTTCTCCACTGCCTAGCATCCTCCACCTCCCAGTTCCAGCCTTCAGCTCCTGCCCCCACCCATTCACCCATTCCCCACCCCTACCTCAAACTCTCTCCCTTCTGCTTAACCCCTCCTTTGTTCACCTCATCTTTACAACTTGTATGGTGGGACATCAGAACAATAAGTTGTCTATGCTGGCAGAGATGTGGATGTGGGATTTCTGACTGACACGTATCACCACATTCACCTACAGTTACAATTTTTTTTTTCTTTTTTTTTCTCAGGAGGAATCTATTGATCATAAACCTATTTTCCCCCTTATGTTCTTCAGTTCAGTTTACACACATTTTTGGTTACATGGCATTTTCAGGAACACAGCTGTAACAGTCAACTGTTTTCAAAATGTTTGCTTCCAAACAAAATTTCTCAGGTTTTGGGGGATGTCATGTGCAATGAATTCAGCAGCACTGACAACTCCCATATGTCATTCAACCTTCTTATATTTGGCTTCATTCCATTCAGGGATGCTTCCAGATATGTATATCTCCCTTATGTAGGTTCATTTTATGCAAATTCATAATTATGTAATGTTTTAGTTCCATCTGTAATTCCATTTACCTTCATTGTATGTGAATAAACTTGATTGATTGATTGATTGATTAATTGATTGAATGTACAACTTCCAAAACTTATCGAAGAGGCTTTCTCTGCAAAATTGAGTGTTGTTAGTTTGATCCTACTTCAGTTGCTGTGGTCCTGTAATACATCTGCTGCTCAGAGTGAGAGATGCCTATAACTGATAAATATGCAAACTCTAAACTGAATTGTCTCCAGGTGCTGGGTTACATTAATCCAGTGTTGGAGTTTGAGTAGTTTGTGCCTAGGAGTGTTGGCCTCATATATGGGATGGGTATCACTCTTCCCACAGTATGGTTGCCTGACGAAGAACCCAGAATCTCTTTTGGCATAAATGGTGGTGATCTTTCCCATTTTGTGTACCTTTACTGATGATGTAAAAAAAAAAGCTATGGATTTCAGAAAGTGAAAAAATGGAATTGGAATAATTTTAATAGATGATTATACTATATGAAAGTGAGTTGGTCACAGTTGTAGCATGTTAATAATGATAGTGTAAATTTGATAATGTTAGTAATGGATTATTTAAGCACTGAATAACCAAACCATTCTAGTGCTTATTAAATAAGATAAAACAATTGTAAGTCATAGAACATTACAGATGTGGGTTACGAGTAGTGTTACCAGTGCCAGAACATGTATTGAGCCTCCTGCCAACTGCCAACACTCAACAGCCTAATGATCCTCCAAGTTTCTGTGTTACACCAGTGCTCTTTAATGTTGGCATCAATGAAGAGGTAAGACATTCATACGTATTTTATTCCTTAGCGGTGTTTATTTTAGCTTAGGTTGTTGTGCAAATAATAGACCAGCAAAAATCTGAGTAGAAACTCCACAAAGATTAAAGATCCAGAAATGTGGATCTCTCTACCAGAAGGTTATAAAAGGTCACTATTTGCCAAATGCTTCAAAAATATTATTAACCCTTTGAGGGTCAACAGGTCCCCTCAGAGACTTATTCTCAGGGTCCCCCAAATTTCAAAAAAAAAAAAAAAAAAAATTCTTATGAAAAAATAGATTTTTTTTTCTAAACATTATAGGCTAAACAAAAAAAATTTTACCATCAATACTTACCAAGATATGGAGGCGTGAAGTTGACGAAAAAGGGGCACAATGTGGCAACATCGCCGACTGCCGTCACCCGGTATTCTTTTATTTACTGCTTTATGTACTATTTTCTATTATTTTTTAATTTTTCTTTTTCCAAGTAACTTTTATGGCCTGTGAGACCAATATGATCAGTATTTTGTAAGTTATTTATTTTTCAATACTACACAATAAGGGCGTAAACACTGTTGTCATTGTTTTGTTTATAGAAAATATTTACACAAACAAACGATATGAAATGTTGTTTATTACTATTTTTCTATATTTTATATACACATATACAGTCACAGGGAATGTTTCTAGAAGTTCTGCAGCCTGTGGAAGTCTTTGAAACATGGTGTCATGCACAGTGGTGTTTTACATTCCTCACACATAAAACGAGTGTGTCTGCGTTGTTGTGGGCGTTTCCTTGTATGTGCACAGACGTAACCCCTCTCCTTCCCCTTTTTCTTGAAAGCAGTAGCAGGCAGTTTTACTAGGAAGTGATCACCATGCTTCAGACGAGAAGGTAGTTGTTGATAATTTGGTGGGCGGTCTATTGCAGGTGTTCTTCCTTGGTACTTGAATACTATTTGTCTGATGACAAACAAACAGAATTCGCCGTATTGTGGTTTGTTTCTGGTCCTCATCTTATACATATTATAAGCATTGAACATGGAAATGTCCAGAAGATGGAAAAAGAGTTTTATGTACCACTTATAACTCTTGCGTACACAATCCGCAAACCCAATCTGCATGTCACATTTGTCCACTGAACGCATATTGAAGGTGTAATCAATCACAGCTGCAGGTTTTAGAATGGGTTCATTGCTCTCTCTATGCTGCCTGCCAGTGTCTGCCATTTCATTAGGGTGAACTGATGACAACAGTGTGACATCTTGTTTGTCATGCCACCAAAATGCCATGATGTCATTGGCAGCAAACGCCTGCACCTCACCTCTACAAGTGCCAGCATCAAACCTGGGCATATGTTTCCGATATGCATGCACTGTGCCACACACATCTGTCATGTTCACTTGCAAAAAATCACTGAGTGAGGGGCTTGTGTACCAGTTATCAGTATATAATATATGCCCCTTACCAAGGTATGGTTCTATCATTGTTCTAACCACATCACCAGAGATGCCCAATAACTTCCTGGTATTTTGCAATGTATAGCTTCCAGTGTACACAATAATATCCAGTACCAGACCACTGTAACAATCACAAAGCACAAACAACTTTATACCAATATGTACTGCTTGAAAGAGAGTCTTCCTTCGAACAGAATCAAAGACTCCTCAATTACAAGCTTCCTGAAGGGATAAAAATACATATTGAATTTCTCTTTCAGATACACAAACACATGCCTAATCTTATATAACCTGTCGTTTCTGTGAGGCCTGGTTTTGTCTGAGAAGTGAAGCATATGTAACATTAGCACAAATTGATTTACTGGCATTATATCACTGAAACCTGGGGTTGCAATCAGGCAGTCTGTTGACCAGTATTATTTCACTTTGTGCTTATACACATGTGGCATAAGCATTATTGTGGCAAAGAAAAGATACATCTCAGCCACAGTTGCCTCCTTCCAATGGTGTAGACGTGATTTTGGTGAAAGTATTGTGTTTGCCATGGTGTACTCGTAGTATGTGTTGCTTTCCATGACAATACTTTCCATCAGGGGTTCGTCAAAGAATAACTCGAAACATTCCAGTTCAGTGGCATTGTTCCCAAGTGTACATGATGGCCGTATTCCACTTTGGCTGTCATCAAACTGGTGGGGATTTGGAACAAAATTGACAGCTTCCTGCCAATCCCAGGTGCGGTCTGCTAGTGGGTACTGGACAATGACAGGTGGTTGTGGTTGTGGAGGTTGTGGTTGTGGAGGCTGGTGTGGGTGGGTGGGGGATGGTGGCCTTTGTTGTAGATCAGCTGAGGCAGCGGTGTGGGTGGCAGCGTGGGTGGCAGCATGGCCCACTCCTGGTGCCTCACGGCCGGCACCACCACTACCACCACCGTGCACATTTTCCATCCCAATTGCAACACTATCATCGTCATTTTCACTGTCTGTTCCTGTTGTACAGCCACAGGATGCACTCTGAGATGTACTCCTTCCCCTTGGAATAGCATATGGCACACTACCAGAGCGCATATATCGTCGTATATACTGACGCTTCACTTGGGAATATTGCACTTCACTATCACTACTGGAACTAGTTTCAAGAGCTTGTAGTTCATATTCACTATCACTATCATCACAAATGCTCACATCTGAGTCTGGGATTTGGGAAAATAGGAGTTTACTCTTTGATTCTGGTACAACTGAACGTGAACAAGATGGCCCAGCACCAGAGGTGGAAGGCTGAGGGTCGTCTGGGTTTTCCTCACTATTACCGATATTATGGTCATTAGTTTCGGTCAAAACCTCACCAAAACCTTGAAACTCATCTTCACTGGCACTTCCATCTGTATTAGAACCGTCACTGGGGAACAAAAGTGTTCCAATTCACCGAGGAGTGAGGAACTTCTTACCGCGAGGCATGGTGGACATTGTGTACTAAGATGGCGTTCCCATAATGCACCACTGGGTCCCAGATTTTTTTTCTACTGCGCACACCGACCACACAGACCCATTCTCTCACATCTAGGCCTACCAGCCTTTTCCAGCAAGATTTGACAGCGCTAGAATTTATGCGTACTAGTATGTCAAAAATCCCTGCGCGTGAGCCGTACTAGTATGTCCGAAACCCCCAAAGGGTTAAATTACCTGAATTTAATTAGAATTCTTGTAGATTAAATACAGATGTCATGTATTACATCTATGTGACCTACTCATCCAGATTGCAATCAGCATTCATACTCATGCACTTCTTGTCTTTACTATTATTCTTATCCTTTTTTTTTTTTTTAACAAGTCGGCCGTCTCCCACCGAGGCAGGGTGACCCAAAAAGAAAGAAAATCCCCTAAAGGAAAATACTTTCATCATCATTCAACTCTTTCACCTCACGCACACATAATCACTGTTTTTGCAGAGGTGCTCAGAACACAACAGCTTAGAAGGATATACATGTACGTATAAAGATACACAACATATCCCTCCAAACCGTCAATATCCCGAACCCCTCCTTTAGAGTGCAGGCATAGTACTTCCCATTTCCAGGACTCAAGTCCGGCTATATAAAAATAATAACCGGTTTCCCTAAATCTCTTCACTAAATATTACCCTACTCACACTCCAACAGATCGTCAGGTCCCAAATACCATTCGTCTACATTCACTCCTATCGAACACGCTCACGCACGCACGCCTGCTGGAAGTCCAAGCCCCTTGCCCACAAAACCTCCATTACCCCTTCTTTCCAACCTTTTCGAGGACGACCCCTACCACACCTTCCCCTACAGATTTAAATGCTCTCCATGTCATTCTAGTTTGATCCATTCTCTCTAAATGACCAAACCACCTCAACAACCCCTCTTCCACCCTCTGACTAATACTTTTATTAACTCCACACCTCCTAATTTCCAAACTCCGAATTTTCTGCATAATATTTACACCACACATTGCCCTTAGACAGGACATTTCCACTGCCTCCAACCGCCTCCTCGCTGCTGCATTCACAACCCAAGCTTCACACCCATATAAGAGTGTTGGTACTACTATGCTTTCATACATTCCCTTCTTTGTCTCCATAGATAATGTTTTTTGTCTCCTCATATACCTCAACGCACCACTCGCCTTTTTTCCCTCATCAATTCTATGATTAACCTCATCCTTCATAAATCCATCCGCCGACATGTCAACTCCCAAGTATCTGAAAACATTCACTTCATCCATACTCCTCCTCTGCAATTTGTTATCCAATTTTTCTTTATCTAAATCATTTGATACCCTCATCATCTTACTCTTTTTCTATGTTCACTTTCAACTTTATACCTTTACACACACTCCCAAACTCGTCCACTAACCTTTGCAATTTTTCTTTAGAATCTCCCATAAGCACAGTATCATCAGCAAAAAGCAACTGTGTCAATTCCCATTTTGTATTTGATTCCCCATAATTTAATCCCACCCCTCTCCCGAACACCCTAGCATTTACTTCTTTTACAACCCCATCTATAAATATATTAAACAACCATGGTGACATTACACATCCCTGTCTAAGACCTACTTTTGCCGGGAAGTAGTCTCCCTCTCTTCTACACACCCTAACCTCAGCCTCACTATCCTCATAAAAACTCTTTACAGCATTTAGTGTACTTGCAACATCTGCCACATTGCTCCCCTATCCACTCTATCATATGCCTTTTCTAAATCCATAAATGCAATAAAAACTTCCCTACCTTTATCTAAATACTGTTCACATATATGCTTCAATGTAAACACTTGATCTACACATCCCCTACGTACTCTAAAACCTCCTTGCTCATCCGCAATCCTACATTCTGTCTTACCTCTAATTCTTTGAATTATAACCCTACCGTACACTTTTCCTGGTATACTCAGTAAACTTATTCCTCTATAATTTTTTCAATTTCTTTTGTCCCCCTTCCCTTTATATAAAGGGACTATACATGCTCTCCGCCAATCTCTAGGTACCTTCCCCTCTTTCATACATTTATTAAACAAAAATACCAACCACTCCAA